CCACAATGCCCGGCTATTTTTTGGTTGCAGCCATTATTGTTGTTTGGCGGGCCTGGGCTGGATTTGAACCCGCCACCTTAGGTGTATGTGGCTGGGGCCTTAGCCGCCGAGCCACTTGTTTCTAAATTAAATGATTCACTCAGTTTACTAGGAGGATATAAGAGGGCACTGGCAGGGAATTTGGTTTAATTTATATTCAAAATTTAAATTAATATTTAGGTTCTATTTGATGTCATTTGTTTCTAACTTTGGATTATTATTAACTAATAATCTATCTTTTAATCTAATAACTTATTTTTTATATTGCACACGGAAAGTAAAACCACTTGCCCCTCTCCTTATAGGAAGCAAGAAGAGATGTGGGAGGGTTGGTATGACCCACACAGCCATGTTCCTTTGAGGTGGCTTAAAGACCTCTAATCTATGCTAAAAAGTGGATGCAGTTTTCAGGGGCTAAAAAGAAACTTACAGTCAAGAGCCGGCACTAGGACCGGGTCCCCCACCCGACAGACCGTCCTAACCCTGCAGGCCGGACTGAGAAACCCCAGTCTGGGCCGCTGAGTTCCCTTACCTGAGTGAATCGTCGGACGAGGCACGTCTTCCCCACACCAGCGTTGCCAATTAACACAATTTTGAACAGGAAATCATAATCTTCCATACTCATTTACACAGCTACAAAGCAAACACAGGGAAGAGTGAGAAGGGCACCGCACACTTCCCCGCTGAGCTCAAGCTGCACCAGCACTGTCTCAGGAGCAACAGGTCTGACTCATTTAAAGAGCAATTTTACGCTCCCTCTAGTGACCCTGCCAGCGAGAGCGGAACAGAGGTGTTCAGTCATAAGCGAACTTTATTCCTTCCCAGCTACCTCATGCCACAGAGAGCAAATGACACAGATGTCCTTTCACCTGGTAACCTTTGCTCATCCAAACAGTCAGGTCACAGGTTGGAGAGGAGATTAGAGATCGATGTGCAAACAAGCTGGGGATGAAAAAAGCAGGGACAGAGCAGAGCCCAGCCGAGCTGAATGGTAGCCGATGGGCCATGTATGCCTCTGGGAAGAAGTGCTGGTCCCTGGGGGTCTGAGGAAGGGGAAGGAGCTAGGAAGGCCCTGTCAGTCTCCTGCAAGTCCTGGGGGTCCTGGGGTCTCACCAGTGTGAATCACAGCCGTCTCTCCCCCGCATCATGACATGCCTATATTCCTCCTTCCAGCCAGGCCGATGCTATATGGCCTCACAAAGTGCTGCCTTCTCCCCCCCAGAGGCTCTGGGATGTGCCATGTCTTCTGCCAGGGATGCCCTCTCTCCTACCCCTTTTGTGTCCTTGAGGGCCCAGTGTAAGCAATCCTTTTCTCTCTGAATCTTTCACTGATGTTCTCCTCCGAAGTTAAATATTTTCACCTCTCCCCTAAAACTTCACTCACTGCTCACAAGCCTTCCTCATCCTGGAGGGATGGGATTATGTCTTTTAGCTCTATTTTTCTTAGTCCCTGGGACAGAGCTCCCCGAAGTAAATGTCTACTCTGTAGAAGGAAAACATTAATTAATGGGTATATTGCTCATGGGTGGGCCTTAGTTTCTCCAATTGTGCTAAAAAAAGAATACTGTATGTTCCATCTACTTCAGAAGACTATTGTGAAGATGAAAAAAAATCTTAACAAAAGAGCCTTGGTACCCATAAAACCCTATTATCCTGGGGAAAGGAACTGATAATCTATTGAGCGCCTACTATGATGCTGTGCTGTCACTGAAGGAGATACAGACAGGAAACAATGTCAACCCTCAAGACCAATGTGAGAAAAGTTAAATGCCAACGGAAATGTAAAGTAATAATTTAAGCCAAAAGCAGAGCTCACTTTATAAGGTGGAGGCCAGCGGTTCTCAACCTGTGGGTCGCCACCCCTTTAGGGGGTTGAACAACCCTTTCACAGGGGTCGCCTAAGATCATCCTGCATATCAGACATTTACCTTACAATTCATAACAGTAGCAAAATTACAGTTATGAAGTAGCAACGAAAATAATTTTATGGTTGGGGGTCACCACAACATGAGGAACTGTTTTAAAGGGTGGCGGCATTAGGAAGGTTGAGAACCACTGGTGTAGGCAGAACAGGCCCAGGAGACTCAGGAGGAAGGGCAAAGGACATCCATGTGTTCATGAGTGGGAGGGTGCTGGGAGTGTTAGGGAAGCCACAGGGTCATGCCTGCCAGCAGATCTGAAGCTCAAAGGGCTGTAGACTGCTGGACAGAAAGGAGGACCCAAAGCACTGGACTGTCAAGAATCCAGGGGAGTAAATTCCCTGTGTGCAAAGGTTACTTCCATGTGGATTTCAACTGATCCTTGGAAGGATGACTAACAACCAAGCAGGTGGCAATATGCACATGACAATTCATGGGGTTCCATCTCAGTTCACTGGGACTGTGAAGGAAAAACATTACAAAAGAATCTGGGTCCATAAGCAGTGATAACACTAAGTGTAAGTCAGGCACTATACTTGGCCCTTTGTGTATATTTCCAATTGATTTTACAAGTATACGAAGACAGTATTTATTAACAGATTACCTACTTTAGAAGTGAGTAAACTGAGGTTAAAGGAAATGAGGAAGGTAACCTCGAATCAGAAAGCTAACAGCTAAACTTTAAGGCATATGGTGTCATCAGTATGGAGCCAGAGAGACGTAGTTCAAATCACGGCTGTACTACCTTCTAAGTAGTACATCTGCCTATCGGCAAATGATAATATCTCAGAGCTTCAACTTCCCCATCGACAAAATAGGGCTAATAACACCTATATCACAGATCTGTGATGCTTGAATTCGTGGAAACCCCCAAGAGCAGCACCTGGCTCTTAGTCACCCACATTCCTTACTATGACTCCCAAGTTTTCCATGATCTGGTTTCTGCCTTCACTGCCAGCCCCCTCTCAATTTTCTCCTCATAGCCCACATTCTAGGCTCACTGAGTTTCCTCAGCTTCTGAAATACCCTAAGATCAGTTTTGACCTCAGACACTCACTATATGGTCCTTCTGCCCAGAGTACAGAACACAATGGATGCTTGCCATACCTGGCCCACTTGACTTTTACTCCCCCCTTAGATCTCAGCTTAAACACCACTTCCCCTAGTATGCCTCTCTGACCTGCCAGGGGGCCGGCCTCCCTGCTCTCTGCTGCCACAACGCCCTCTCCTCCCAACCCTTGCTAATACTCACCATGCTTAACTGTAATCCATTACTTTTCTCTCCTCCTAACCCCACTCTTCAGCACCTCAGTGCTACACACTCTCTCTCATGAGTATGGGGGCATGACGGCAATGAAGTGTCTGGTTGAGTCCCAATCCCACCCCCTGCTTGTCATGGTCATTGTCCTCATCATCATTTCACTCTGTAACAAGCGAGTTAATCTTCACGACAGTCATACAAGGTAGACACTACACTATTAGTGTCCTCATTGACAGAAGTACTAATTTGCAAGTGAAGTTAAATAAGAAGTCATTAGGTCCCACCACGAAAACTGGTAGAGCTGCGATTCAAACCCAGACAACCTGGCCCTGATACTCCATAGGGCCTTTGACAATGCTTAGCTCATAGTAAGAGCACAGGAAAGATGGAGTGAACTGAATGAGGAAGGACTCAATAAAAATAAAAGTGCTTTCTCTTTTCTCTTCCCCTCTGGCTTTAAATACAAAAACTCTTTCTACCATACTGTAATAATTTAAATTAAACATCAAATAAACACTCAGGAATGGGGCATGTCAAGTAAAACTCAATAAAGCTGGGCACCTGTTTCTCAGTGGTTAGAGCACCGGCCCCATGTACCAGGGGTGGCAGGTTCAAACCCGGCCTGGGGCTGCTAAAATAAATAAATAAATAAATCTCAATAAAGCTATTAAAATTAAAAAGAACATAAAGCTCACAGATAGGCACAAGGATAGCAGGAAGACCAGACGTTCCCTGCTTTCATAAACCATAAAAAGCAGGAAGAGCGGGGACTGGATTGCATTATTTTTCTATGTCTAGTTTGTTTGACATACATTTATGTCTACTTCTTTGCCAGAGGTCAAAGAAATAAAGTAGGGAATCCAGATTAGGATATCCAAATATAAAAACCTGAGGAACAGGGCTGCTAAGAGCATCTTTAGGCAAAGAAGGGGAAAGAGAGGCTTTGCCAGAGTCAACCTTATGTCACGTGGTGACCACCTGCAGGAAGCCACAGAGTCAAAGTTAAAACAGTTCCCCTTTCGACAAGAAATACTTTCATGCTCTATTGAACGTTTTTTACATGAACCTCTGGGAGAAAAGTTTTTGGTCTCTTTATTTAAAAACGTAGTCTGTGTGTACAGAAAAAAAAAAAAAAAAGAAAGAGAGAGAGAAAAAGAAGAAAGACGGAATGGGAAGGGAGAAAGAGAGAAAGGTTAAAAAGAAAAATACAGCCAGGACACCCATTGAAATTTTGATCTCAGGTGGCAACAAATAAATTTTAATATAAGTTTGTTCCCAATATTGCATGAGACATATGAATAACTTTTTAGGATATAAATGTGGTCCAAATATTATGGGGGACACACTTATACAAAAAAAATTATTTGTTGGTTGTCTAAATTTCAAAATTGACTGAGCATCCTCTATTTATTTGGCAACCCAAATGAAGGGAAAATATGAGTAGGCAGGTCATAATGGGAACAGAGGCTGTAGGCATAATACCACGCGCACCCAGAAGCCGTGGAGAGAGACAGACAGGGCATAAGGAAGGATGTATCCTTGATAAATACAAAACAGCCAAACAGAAATAAAAAAGTGCAATAAGTAAAATTTCAAGAAGGCATTACTGGGCTGGGTTCTTTAGAAACTGGGCCAGACTCCAGGTTCAAATTGGCATGGGAGCTCCACAGGTAAGTCTCCTCTTCCTCCAACCCAGAAGACCATGGACCTCCCTCCAAATAGCTCCGTGCAGGTGCACCTGCCCAGTGGGGAGTGGGTGGAGTTGTGCTCTACAAGTCTCTCGCCCCTACTATCCTTAAGAACAAGACTGTTCTCTGCTTATCCCCCTGCTGTGCTCCATAAGTAGACGCTGAATGAAAGCCTCTGATCCATTTTTCACTCCAACAAGGTTCTGTCTCAGGAAGCTCATCATTGCTTCATTACCAGGAGGCAATTACTAACCATTACTCTAATCAACTGCTGCAAGCTCACTTGCTTCACATCAGCTGTTAATTTCATGTTATTGCAAGTTAATTATTCTCCTTGGCTACGGATGTCAGACATCCACCTGTGCGTAGCTGCTCCTTATCCACCAGGCCACAAACTCCAGCATGTTTGCACGGCTCTTCACAGTTTACAAAATTCTTTCACAGATAAGATCTAATCTGGGCCTCCCAACAACCTCATGAGCTAACTCTTTTTTTCCAATATTTTTTTCCCACTTTTGAAAGATAATGAGCTAGCTCTTATCATTCATTATGCAAATGAAGAAACTGAGGGCTTAGGTGATGAAGGGACTGATTCCCTTTAAGTGGCATGCTGGTGAGTTGCGCAGTGGCCTCTGTATCCTGGCCACTGAGAAATTTTCCTCTTTGCCCGAACACACTATGTGTTCTCAGGCTCCTAACCATTTGGACCATGATTTGAACACACTGTGTGCCAGGAAACGTGCTAAATGTTTTCCATATGTAATC